TCAAGCTCGACACTAAGCTCTTTCGGTGGGCCAAGTCCCGTAAAGGTCATGTCAGAAGCACTGCACTTTTGATGGGGTGAGTGATCATCCCCAATATCCTCATAGGGGGAGGAGCCTGCGGGCTGCCTAGCGGCTAGCAGCTAGATACACATCGACGAGCTGCTCACACACGCTCCAGACGTGGCGGCGGTTCGCGAGGCCCATGAACGGACCCCGCATGTGTTTCCTGGGCCGGGTGAGCGCGTCGAGGGCGAGCAGGAGGCCCTTGAGGCTCTTGCCTGGCGGCAGATGGTCGTCGGCGATGAGGGGGTGGAGCTCAAAGAGGCAGCGCAAGCTGGTCCTGATGCGGCTCCGCCAGAACGGCTCGTTGTCCCGCAGCGCGGCGTTCACCGGCCACGAGGCCCGGCACAGGCTCAGGACGGCGTCGTTGTCCCCGACGAGGCTGAGGACCATGTGAAAGATCTCGAACGGCAGCTTCTGGAACAGGTCGTTCCTGACCTTAGGTGCGAGATCGCGCGCGACGGCTGCGGGCTGGAACGAGTGGGACGCGATGGTGGCGCGCAGGAGAGCCGAGCTGGCCGGGGTGCAGTCGAGGGGTGCCACGACAAATTCGTACCCGAGCATGCAGCGCCACCATTGCTCCTGCGCCTTGGCGTTGAAGCCGTAGTCGAGGCTGAGACACCTGCGGATCGGGTGTGGGATGCTCTGCATGGCGGCGTAGAGGGCGTCCTTGCCGACCTGCTTGACGGCCGTCTCGACGCCGTCGGTCCGCGTCAGGGCCTGGGCGAGAAGCTCATAGCAAGGGCGGTGGAAGGGGAAGACGGGGTCGTCGTCGTCGTCGGGGGAGTAGCACCTGAACCTGTAGGCTTCCGTGTAGGGATAGCTGGGGTCGTCTCCGACTTCGACGTCGACTATGCTTCGGTCGTAGTACCTGCCCGGCCCCGAGACGAAAGCCCTGGTTTGGCGCCGACAGTCAGTCCGCGAGTACCTAGGTGGGGTTATGCGTAGAGAAAGCACCTACTTTTTGGCGCCAGCTGCGTGCGGGTTGAGACCCTATGCCACCCAGTTAGAGCACGCGACGAGCATGCGTTTGATCAACTGCACCTACGAGAACGGACAGTGTCCTGGTCCAGCGTGCTTCGTCAGCCGTGATGATGTCCTCGTCGTAGACGTCGTTGCCGAAGCCGTACTCGCTCTCATCCGACTCGTCGCTGTCGTATTCTCCGGCGCTGCTCGGCTCTTCTGCGCGCTCGCGGCCGTCTCCCGTGGCGTCGGTCGCCTGGTGCTGGGAATCAGCGGGTTTGGCCTTTCTTATCGTGCGGAACTGGCATATCTCAAAGGGTCCGCCGCAGATGGTGCAGTAACAGTCCCATGACATTGGGCAGGTGTGCGATTAATCCGTGGTAGTGTACGAAGGCTTTGGCCAAAAGTAATGGTTACCCCGGTAGCAGATGTCAGAAAGAAATGACCACTGCACTAAAAGTGACAAAAGCGATTACGTAACTAAATTTGCGGTGCTGGAATGCGCCCCACAGCTGATCGACCCCTGATGATCGCACTCTTAGTACAGGGCGCTTGTGAGCCTTACGCAGGTCTTGTGTTTACGCTGACTCGGTCTGTCCACATGAGCCTGAGCCAGATGGGTGGGTCTACCGGACCCCCCCCCTCTTTTCTTTTTGGACTTGTATTTATTTAGATGGTGGCCCCTGGGGGACATCTTGAGAGGAAACATGCACATTTTTGCCCATCTTTTTGCCCTCGCCCGATATGCGTTGTGCACCATGACTGTGATGTTTCTATTGCCCTCCCTCTGGTCATAGGGAGGAGGATCTTGTTTTTCTTTTTTGCTACCCTGCGGCCATATATCGACGATGTGCACTTTGAACAGCTGCTCGTGCCGTGGCCGTTGCCACGGCCACGGTCAGTCAAAACAACAAAACAACCACCATCCCATTGCCATTAGTGCCACCGAGTCGAGACGTTTTTGTTTTCCTGGGTGTGTGTGTGGTTTTGGGGGTGTAGCGATTTCTACACCTCATCAACACTAGATACCTTTCGCTAGTGGAGTCATGCCTGGTTTCTAAAACCTCTTTCAAAATACAAGTCTTGCAGCTTTGCAGCTAATTACAGGGAGCAAATTCTTATTCCACGGCTCCTAGGCCCTGGGGAGGGGGGGGCTAGACCACTCAATACCGATATGCCTTTTCGACACTTCTGGAGACCGCTAGTGGCTATCGAACTCACCTTAGTTACATAGGTATCAAAGGCCTTGTAAACCACTAAAAATACTTTTTGAAATGCTGAAATTACCGTCTTTTAATGCTGGAGGCCTTGGGAGAGACTAAATATGCCTTTCGAGATACTGATAATATCATCTCTGATGCTATAAAAGTCTTGTAGCTTATACAAGGTACGGTGGAAAGTGACGATCGGCATAGTAGATCGTTCCGGGTTATTTTCAACATCAAAGCCAGCATACAATACAATATTATCAGGCATCCCCAATAATATCAAGGTTCCCCTCGAGCCACTACCAACAAGTCAACAACTGTCATAATGCAGCCAAATAAGAAGGCATACCTGTGCTAAATCATGGTCCGAGTGGTTAGGCACAGGAGGATTCACAAACATGTCCCCCAGTTGACGGGCCCCTAATCGAGAATGATGTCTCATGTCATAGTCGGAGTTGGGACCAGATGCCGGCCATGGACCAGGGGGGTCAAGCTTTGCTCTTATGGCTTGGCTAATTTCAGCCATCGAAGGTCGGTGAGCAGGATCATCCATCAAACATCGCATGACCAGTTTGCGAAGATCTTTATCAACGCTCCTGAATCGTGGTATGTCGTCGTTGAGGATATACACCCCGTAGGACCACCTGTTGGGAAAATTTGGCTCCGAAAATGCCTCGGGATATGGACCATATGGAGGCACGCAATGTGTTATCAGACACCACATTATGAAGCCCATGCCCCATAGATTGGTCTTCCAGCTGTACTGGCCGGCGACCTTTGCGCCATTGGGGAATAATTCGACCCAGTCCCACTCGGTCGAGAACTGCTCCTGAGGACCTCTTTAGGTAAACGAAAACAAAAGGAAACAAGACTAAAAGAACATACTGGCGTTTGCCAACCATTTTTGCCCCACCAGATAGAGGCCCACATCTGTAACCTGATTGTGCCATGCCGAGTCAGAATTTGTCATGCCCAAAGAAACAGAGACGGTGGGTAACGCACGGGTTGCTGGATAACTCGTTTACATCTGTGCAGCGGCTAAAGTCGGAGAGCTGGCTCTGTCAACACACAACCGAGTTAGACATGAAGGGGAGACGATGAGATATACCTTCATACCCGGCACCAACTGGTGCCGTAGGTCTCCATCCGGCTCGAGGGACTTTACAAGCACTATTGGCGGGCCCGGCGTTGGTTGATATCCCAAGTTGACAGAAACGAGGCTCCCACTCACCATTGGACGGGTCTATGTCGAAATGCACCCAGCTTCGCGCACGTTCCCGATCACGGGCCCGGTGAAGGTCACCCCGGGCTAGTGCCGCCTTTTGTGCTCTTGTTCGTGCTGGCGGGGCCCATGCTACGTCTTGGGCCGTGGGGATACGCTCCCAGAGAGCTTGATCTAGGTCTTCGTTGTATTCGGGGTGCCAGCGCTTTGGCGGATATCGCAGAGCCAGTATCATTTGGAAGACTGCATTGCCTTTTTAGACTTCTCCCATGTAGCTGCGCACCGGGGGGCTTACGGCAATCAAATATGAGCCAGAGCGTGCGGTCTCTGACGGGCGCTTTATTACCCCTGCCATTATTGTATCTTGTTGCAACCCTCCTCAGTACACCTTCTAGCGACCCCCCCGGGCAGTACTCAAGGAAGACCATCAACTTTTTGGCTTTGGGGTTCATAGGGATATCGTGTACTTGGAGGACATGTTTTGCGCCCCTAAACTCCTGAACCAGCCGTCTATTAGCATTAGATCATGATGAATCAGTCCCTGACCGAATTCGGGTACAAAGGTATCACTCACCTTCATCTGCCTCGCCTCGTCATGAGGCGTCCTGACGCCATCGGGCGCTTGGAACTTGGCAACGTACTCCTTAACCCTTCCTCTTCGATCCCATTGCCGGAAAAGCACGGCGACGCCCTCACCTCCCCAACCCAACAGTTTAACAAACTTGAAGGTTTTCGGGAGGGTCTGGGCGGCCGCGCGCACTGCCTCCTTGACCTCTTCTCGCTCCTCTTCGTCAAGATCCACTAAACTGTCATACGGGCCATCCTCGTCAGGCGATCTATGGTCGACGTCGAAGTCCCCATCATCGAGGTCGGGCCAAGCGTTGACCCCCCCGGGGTGGAGAGGGACTTGCATCTGTGCCTCTGCCTGCTCCTTTTGTGACATTGACAATGCTATGTAGTCATCATATTTTGCCTGGCGGTAGTATGGCAACATGAAAAGCGTTCGCTGTTGCACTTCAATTAGCTCTGGATCGGCGGCCATTGTGTTGATGGTTATTTGCTGTCGCCGTGTGGGTTTGATTCCGAGTCCAGGAAGGCGAAGGAGATGTACTAGTGGTGACTTGGCGAGCACTTTCAGTACCTAATAGCAGCTCGAAATGGAAAACTCCATGCGTACTTCCACGGCAGTACTAAGGGCAACTGCATGCGGCATTTTGTGGACAAAGAGATACTGGTAACCCCTGAATACTAGTACTTGGTATGTCAATGAAAACTAGAACACACACAATTTCAGCGCTACCCCCTTTACCCGATGGTCTTTGTCCTTTGTGCAAGCGCGACATGAATTGGGGGATCACCCGTCAACGTCCGCCATTCCGATTGACTGACATACCAAGGCCCCTTTGAGCAACCTCAGCCACCACATAGTGCCTAGGTATATTCATTTACCTGCCGATGCCTCAGCCTAACCTAATTTAAACAATCATCGTCTTCATTCTTGCAGGGTAGCGCATGACGACACTTTCGAAGCAACTCTTGTATCGAAAGCCCGTGTGGTCTAGTGGTTATGACGGTCGCCTCACAACAATACTTGTACAGAGTATTATCGCGACAGGTCCCAGGTTCGACCCCTGGCGTGGGCATCCATTTCTTTTTGCTTCGATCCGCTATTTGATGTGGAGTTTGTTCCTTGGCTTCTGTCTAGAGTTTCTGTCTAGAGTGGAGTCTAGGTGGTACAACCGGGCACAACACAATCGTCATAGAGATGTTAAAAACTATGAAGCATGACACTTGGTACCTATATGGTAGTCTTATGAGGAGGCTGCGGCTAACAGAAATCATCTCTTACTCAAGCTGCCTTCGGATGGATTTGAAGGCCAGTGATCATCTCCCAGCCCCGGGCCTCTTATCCTCAGACACCTATTCAGGGTCTCCTGCTGCCTGGCCGATTCCTCGCCCATGCGCTCAAACTTGTCAAGCATGTTGGCCAGATCCCTGGTCGTCTGCTCAACATCAAAGAAATTCACCCGATCCCCGGCCAGCCCCTGGGGGTCCGCATTGCTGGCCTGGTTCTCAAACCACTCACGCTTCTTGAGCTGCTTCTTATTCGGCTGTGGCGCAAGGTACGCCTCCTTAAGCTCCTCCCACGCATGGATCGACCCGACGTCCTCAGCCACATAGTGTCCAGTCCCGGAGAGACAGACGAAGTTCTCGGTGACGGGGGCGCGTCCCTTGACAGTGAGGAAATGATGCCAGTCATTGCTAAAGTCGTAGGTGTAGACGATTTCTATGTCTGGAGAAACACATCAACACCCAAGCTACCTTAGGTAATTAATGAAAAGGGGATTGGACTCACTCCGATATTGCGAATTGCCCAAAAGCTGAAAGAGGCGATAATTCTGACTGTCCTTCTCCACCGTCCGCGGATGCTTCCTCAGGTCTACATGCATGCGGTCAATGTCGGAAAACGGGCTATTCGGCACTGGACCCGTGACACGCAGTGGAAAGCGGTGGGGGCCAGAGTCATTTGGTCGGATGTCGTTCTCCTTCTTGGCTATGGTCTCCCAGACCATGTCAAGCAGGGCGTTGGGGTTCATGACGGCGAAGTCGAACGAGTGGGTGGTGGCCCATCCGAAGGCGACTTGCAGAGCGAGATTCAGGGTGTAGAAGGGCGCGTCGGCCGGGCAGGAGAGGGTGCAGACCACGGGCAGGTTGACAATGTCGCTCAGGCGGAGGTGGAACTCGATGATGTAGTTTTGGCGCTTGCAGTTCTTCTTGTGGGAGGCCCAGGCGGCGGTTTGGCAGTCTTGAGAGCAGTAGGCTGCCTTTTTGCAGCCGCCGCAGAGCTGGAGTTGAAGAGACTCTGGCGGGGTTTGGCAGCTGGCGTTTCCGCAACTTGAAGGACGGGGAGTAGCGTCAGCCATGATGGTGATGGTGACGGCGTTGCAATATTGGAAGATGACTAGGCGTGGAGCACAAGAGATATATCAGGTTGATGGATGGAGAGTGCGACGCGTCAAGAGTTAAGTTCCAAGGGAGCTGCCCAGGGATCCGAGATAAGCGTTGAGCCACCCAACGAGGTAGTGTCATACATCCGTATTTAAAGTTACCTATCATGGGTACATAGTTAAGGTGGTGAATCATGCTTGCTTTTGGTCCTGCTGCCTCAAGTTCACTAGAGACAGACGGCGTGCTATTGAATCATGCTTGCTTTTGGTCTCGCTGCCTCAAGTACAGTAGAGACAGACAGCGTGCTATTAGCGTAGCCACTGCATCATGGAACGAAATCATTCTATTTGAATGGTTACACGACATGACGGCAAATAACATACAAACGAGCTAGCGGTATTCGGGGGCCAGGTTTTTTCCTATTGGCTCCTTCCGCCGATAGTTGTTGGGATGGTAATAGTTGGTATCGCTATCGCTGCTACTATAGAGAGACCTAGGAAGTGGGCTTGCAATGCGCATCTGGATCAGGAAGCCTGTGTGAGTCGTCTGGGCAGCCAGCTCCTTGAGAAACTTATGTAACGATAACTTAGTAAAAAGATTTGTTCTCTTTTTTAACCCGACGTTGTTGAGTTTCTCGAGAGTTCAATGTTTAAAGCTATAATCGACTCTAATAGCTAGTTTCTCGTTGTCTTTGATATGAACATTAAACTATGACAGCGAGTACACCACCCTAAAATCGACACCACGAATTTCCCTTTCCTTCTTCGAACTGAGCTGTTGCCGCCTTAGGCTGAGCCAGACTGAGCCGGACTGAGCGAGGGGTTCATTATTCTGGGCTGCCTCGGCTATAGTTACCATTGTCTAAAGTTTTGGGTCCTCACATTACCACCACCACCACCACCAACACCACTACCTCATACAACACCTAGCCACGCTTTGCTTCACTCAAACGACAAAGAAAGAAAAAAAACCTGCCATTTTACACTAACTCTAATCCCGTTATGCCCAGGTTAAATTATCCATTTTTCTTAGGTAAATAACCTATTATTATAGATAATACTGCATGGATCGTCACGGTTCAGTGCTGTGATTTAGGATTAATAAAGAAAATTCATGGAAGGGGAGTCGCTACCTACTCTAAATTTTGGTTATTAATATTATTACTATAAAGCTCACGAATACGGTAATAAATCACCATCTAAAGTAAGGAGACGTATTATAGGAGGTAAATAGGAGTTCGGCGAGCGTGGGATAAAAGACGAAGGATATATAGATGCTACCTAGGTAGAAATATATCGATAGAATTAATAAAGCCAAGTTATAAAGGAATTATCATACTGCTGAGCTCACCTAAGGTTCATAGGGATCTCACTTCTTTAACTTCAGCTAGGGTCAACGACCGTTCTCGGTCGCACAGAAGCGATCTATGTCACTGACTTTAAGGAGGGTTTCGCCTCTCAGCAATTAAGAGCATTAACAGTGCGGTAGGCGCGGCTAAGTATAAATACTCAAATAAATAGCCAACGATCAATTATCAGCAAAAACCATCCAAAACACAACCAAACGGAGCCAAACCTTCCCACGTATCCTGGAGGTTTCGTAATAGTGTCACACGGTGAACCCACGGGGCACGCTCAGAGCCACTGGCGGTTGGATTTGTCAGGCGGGGCTACCATTGAAGGTGCCCCAGCCGAGATTGAAACACCACTGGCCGCAACCCCTCACGGGTACGGCCATTCAGAATGTATTTAGACATCGTGACTCACAGCAGGCCGCGAGGCCACCAAGAGGCCCATTGGGCCTCGAAGGAACGGCCCAGCAGCAGGCACGAAGGCACGAAGATGGCCTCACTAAACCACCATAAAAAGAGGGCTCGAGAGCAGGATTCTCGAAAAGGACTTCTAGTTCTCCATAGCTCTCTTGAGGCCATAGAAGAATATTAAGTATTCGGACTCACACACTGCATGGCTCCTCCTATCCTCTCAGTGCGAACAAGTCCCACGCAGATCCTTGACCGTGTTACAAATAGTTGTTGTCAGAAACACTGCACCTTGGATTTGCACTGGTGTTGATTGTATTGCTTGAGTTTTGTCTGGTGACCTCTGGCTCTGCCAGAGGCCTTATTCTTATAGCTGTGAACGGTGGCGAACCTGATGCCAAGTGGCCCACACTATTCCTTTTGACAGTCGAACCGCCTCTTTATGACTGGGAAAAACTAGTTATACAATAGGCACGCATAATTACTACAACGCACAGCCTCAAAACAGAGAGTGATTACGCTAGCTACCGAGCCCATTTCTTAGGACCGCCGTTTTTTCCCCCCAGGGGGAATAAGAAACGGGCCACCGCCATCCGGCCCAAAACCTGTCCCTCGTCGTATTAAGTTGACAAATTTGTGGTATGGTGAGCCGGGGTTGAGTCGAGGGTGAAGGGAGCCTGATTTTAGCTTAACCATCTTCGGATGAGGCTCTTTTTTTAAGCGACCGACTACCTAAGGTAGGTAAGACTTGAGGGGGGAGGATGACTCTCAGGGGACCAAAACTGTATATAACCAGGGCTCCCCCATCTCTCAGACTCCCTCTTTCTCTCCTTGATTAATCTAATTCCAACACCATCACCACCTTTTCAGCACCTTTCTCACGATTCTCATCCCTGATGGTATGAATGAACTCGATTGAAAATGATCCTATTGACTTCGCCGATGGGACAAGATGCATCGGTGATGGGGCCTCCGCTCTGGTGGCGATCCGGACGGCGAAGCGGTGGACCCAAGTCTCGCATTTTGAATCGCGAAACTCGATAAATTTTGGCATCGCTCGCGCGTCTAGGGCCCCGGACTTGTCAGAGAGTTTCACAAACAGGTAGTCTCGAACGGACAGAAACTGCTCCGCTTGCGCAGTCCCAGCCCATGGAAGGGCAGAGGACGCTGCGGTATCTTTGCGGAGATTGTCTTCAGAGAAAGGCATCGCCCAGAGCTCGTTCGACGGCCCCTGAAAGCCAAATGCAATGGCGGGTCTGCCGATCTCGGTCGACTTCCAGAACTTTTCGGGAAATGCCATGTAGGTTAGAAAGTTTCTAGGCGCAAGCACCTCGAAGATTTCGGTGTATTCGGCACTTCTTGTTCCTCTCTTGTAGTACTTCTCCCCGTCCGGTATCATGCCAGGCTTGAATGTGATCGAAACCATCGCTTTACTTTGCAGATTCTTCAAATCCTTGGCACTCAAGGTCCTGGCGATGTAGGCCACGATCGGTTCCGATTCTCCGCTCGAGGCTTCTGATTCGGCGATCCGCGATGGCCTGGACGACGAGTAGATCAGAGACTCGGGCGAAGTTCTCACATATGTTGACCCAAACCTCTCAAGGGTGATTGCGGCCCATCGCGGCTGGTTGTCTGTTCGCTCGCTGCACACCAAACAGTCCAGGCTCATCAGCAAGTACTCGTCCTTGCTCGCACGGCGGTGTATGTAGGTGGGATGCCAGTATGTCAAGTTCTTGGCAATTCTCAGCCCTCGATTTGTGAGGCTGAACTCGTTCGCGGCGTCGAAACGAGGGGGCAAAGCTTTTAGGTACGAGCAGTTGCGGAACTCCAAGGGCGATTTGGCGAAGATGGCTCGATATTGCAAGGTTTGTGCTTGCTCCTGCTCCCAAGCGAAGAGGGTCAAATCGTTACTTTGCCGTGCCACTTCCTCTTGTA